AAAAAAATATATATATATATATATATATATATATATTATTATTATCTATTATACTGTAATTACAATCTAATATTGCATATCACACGCGCACTTAAAGAACCTACAAAGGTATTTAGCATTATTTTGTTGGGGATTTAGCATTCTCGGGTTTGTATGCAGAACTTTGGTATATTCTTGAGGAGCATATTATTATAGCAATATTGTTGGAGAACTTGTGAATATATTTAAGGCTTGATGAATTTATGCATAGAAAACCTATGTACCACTAGATTTTCTAATTAGAGGATTCCATTGTGCCATTTGTGCTCCTATGACATTTAGAAAGTTGCATTTATTTAATTGCATGGTTTGTTTCTGTCATTCTTTGTGGTAATGGTGCGTTTTTTCCTTTTTCCCTTCTTTCTGGGTGTTGGGGGTTTGTTCATAAAGTTTTACAGATACTATATCATCAATTAGAGGAAACTACATCCACAAAACATAACTCTACTGCAAACATATGCCTTTGACCGTGGATCGACCTAATATACAAAGGATTTATTAGGGGGCTGTTTTTCTTTGCAAGAAAGGTATGAGGAGAACTTCTATTTTTCATCTCGATTACTAATGAAAACTTGCGACCATGACTGGATGTACTCCTTTTTTTATGTCAATTATTAATGAAAACTTGTGTACTTTTTCTAACTGCTTTTGTGATTATTACTGCTTTTTCAGGCTCATCCCTGGCTAACAGACTCAGAAAGAGAACAGCTTTGCAGGGTCATGAATTTCCAGAAGTTCTCAGTGGAAGCCAGTACACATGCAGCGCAGAACGAGAGGCTACCGCTGCGCATTATTATCCAGGTTCTGTTTTTTGAACAACTTCGGCTACGAACCTCTGTTGCTGGTTGTTTCTATGTCTCGGACAACCTTGAGGATTCACAAAATCTATGTGGGAAAATGGTACCGACAAATGACTGCATCCCAATGAGCTCTGTACAGGACGAGATTCTTACGTTTGATGATATGAGAGAACGGGTGGCCGAACTCGAAAAGGAGTGCAAGAATGTGAAAGAAGAGATGGAGAAGCTAGTGAAGACTAAGGGAAGCTGCAGCAACTTCTTTAGAAAGTTCAGTTTAAAATTTAAGGCGAGGTCTTCAGATCAAGAGCCAGAAAATGCACCCAGCAATGGCGAAGCGGATTGCCAAGAAAATAAGTATTGAATGAAAACAAAATGATGAGAGTCATAAGTTAGATTCATTGAATGAAGTTCTCAGTAGCACCATTTCTTTTTCTCTTGGCAGCTACTAGTGGCATTTAGATTGCTTGTGTGTTAATTGATAAAATTTTAGTCAGACACTAGATTGTGTTATGCTTCTTCTTCCATTGCACTTTGGAGAACAGCCATCGGTCTGGATATATCATAAAATTGAGATGACTTTTTGTAGTCCCACTTTTGGCCGAGTTGCTTTCAATGGGTCATAGCGTACACAATTTTTTTTGCCTATCACAATTCTATGTAGGGAGAGCGAGATAGAGACAAATACCCATTTTGCATGGGATTGAACACGAGAATGGTCGACTTGGATTGTCTTGCTACTTGTGCCTGTGAATTGTCGTTGTTGATGAATTCGAGATCATCGAAACTTGATTAGGCCATGTACGACTTGTGCCTGTGAATTGTTCTAAGCTTGTACTAAGCTTTTTACATTGACAAGTCAAGAAGGCTCACCTATAGGTCGTATTGGACTATGCAAAGCATGTTTTAAATGGTTTGAATTATAAATGGATGAAATTGAGAGGTAGATTAGTGAATAATACTTGTGAACCTCACGAAATATGTAGACAAAAAGTTGTTTAACCGATTAATTTATGAACATTGGCCTGACATGGTTGAATAGGGCCAAGTTGGGAAAAAAAGAAGGCAATCATGTTCATTTTTATGGGCATTGAAATTATCGATGGATATCGTGCCAATATCGATAAATTTGACAAATAGTTTTAGCTTTTAACTTAAGCCATCTAGATAAGTTAAAATCTTTACTGGATGTGTTAATTGTCCCAATAATCACTAAACTTATGTATGTGTCATTGATGACTCACTGAAGTTTAAATATCGAATTTTGGTCATTGAATTTATTCAAATGTTGGACGTTACTGACGTAACATCCGTTCTAAATCTCTAATGAAATTGGTATTATGGCTAACAGAATGCATAGGTGGCGCACCGTCACGCCATTACAAAATTGTCGTGTAAGAAGGCGTCTTTCATTGCCCACTAAATTTTGAAAAATATTTTCGATTGCTTATTGAACTATGAAATGGTCGAATTTTCCGACATCATTTTTATAAATTTAGTGACCAAAATAACGAAAAGATCAAATACTAAAATTGAGGAAAGATCTTATATCTGTGATGTTTTCGTTATTTTTGTAGAATTTTAAGTTCTTTCATCATTTGCAAAATTCAAATTTGTTATGCATTTCGTTGTTAAATTTAACTATTGTGTAATTTAATAATCATTCATTGTAAGATCGATAACATGGGCTTATTTGTCCACTTTATTACATGCACATGATATGTGCACTTGCGATACACAATTTTTATTGAACAATTGGCCGACGTCATTTTTATAAATTTAGTGATCAAAATTCGATCATTCAATGAAATAAACCTTCTTACGTAGCAATTTGGTAAGGGCGTGATAGATCGCCATGTGGGCATTCCGTTAGTCACATCACCGATTCCATTAAATGTTTAAAACGAAAATTATGCCAGCGAGTAACGTTCAACGTTTACATAATTTTAATGGTCAAAATTCAACATTTTAAATTTCAGTAAACAATCGAAATGCATATATATAAGTTGAGTGATAGTATTTGATTTTAACCATAGCTTTTAACTTAAACTGATCTAATTATTTTGGGGTGTATTGGGACGTGTATAGAGATTTTAAAAAAGTTTTATTAATACTAATTATGTGATTAAATGATTTTTGAAAAAAAAAAATGGAGTTCTCGGTGAAATTAGTAAATTATTGTGGAGGAAAGGAGTTAATTGTTCTAATGGTTACTGAACTTAGGTTCATGTTTTTGATTGGTCACTGGAGTTTAAAATGTCGATTTAAGGTCATTGAACTTAGATCCATATTTTAGATTGTTCATTAAAGTTTAAAATATTGAGTTTTGACTACTGAACTTTAAAATATGCCATAAGTTATTTACTAGCATAATTGTTGAACTTTAAAAAATATCGAATTTACAGTGAGAAATGTATAATATTTTTTAAAGTTAAGTGAGTAATGTATAATATTTTTTCAAAATTCAGTGGTCAAAACTCGACGTTTTAAATTTCAATGAACAATCGAAGATATGAACATAAATTTAGTGATTAAAATTCGACATTTTAAACTTTATTGATCAATCAAAGATGTGGAGTTAAATTATGTGACTATTGGAACAATTAACTCGGAGGAAAGTATAATTTATGTAAAAAGTTGGGAAGGACAGAGCTTCGCCTGCTAGAACCTCGGCTTCTTCATTTCTCACCCGATCCCCAACTCCACCCCCTCACACACCAGAACCCATCGAGAGAACATATCCCCATGATTCAAGTGCTGAACAGGTATTATGGCGTCTTTATTTATTTATTTCTTAATTTAAATCCTGGACGTTTACATTATAATGACTTTTTTTTGGTGTTGGTAAAATTGCAATAATTTTTATTTTTATTTTTCTCTTGTTTAATTTATAAATTTTAATTTGAGAAAATCGCCGTGAAGATTATTTTGAGCTACCATTAAGCATGCGATAAGAATGTTTGAAGTGTGTATAAGGCTTTAAATTTTGGATTATTTTGAGGGAGAATTTGCTATTCACGGATAGTGTAATTTTTCTCAGGTGTCTTTATGTTATTGTTTGCTACTTGATCATTAACTCGGGCGGGGTTATTATGTAAATTCTTCGTCTAATAACTAGAAATGAATGTGTCGGAACCTATATAGGGTGACATCATAACTTCACACTTTTATTTATGCCTAAAATTCGAGGTAATGTCACGACAAGTGAGTTTATTGTTCGCAATGATGCTTTGGAATTATGATGCAGGGTTTCTTATGGTATGTAAAGATGACAACTGTTCATATGACAACTGATCAACCCAAAAAATTGGATAATCCAGCAGCGCAATCTGCTCCCAGGTTTCAAAACTCGGCTTCAAAGTTCAGTAGGTGGGGCAGGAAAGCACCGTTTATACGATATGGTCTTCCAATGATTTCACTGACTGTGCTTGGGGCTCTTGGACTTGGTCACCTACTGCAAGGCAGGTTAGTCCAAATGCTTTGTTGGACTAATATTTCTCTGATGCATCAATTAGTAGTGGACATGTGTTGAACAAAGAAGGATTCCGCTCGATTTATTTATCGTCTTCATTCTAATGGTTATTTAAGTTTTGAAGTTCAGATGTCTTAGTATTACTTTTCCTAAAGAGAAACTCAGTTCATTAGAAGATAATCATTATAGACATTGATGCATGAGACGAGCACAACAAGTATAGCGACTTATTTATTTCAAGCAAATGCCAAAATGGGAAAATAGGAAGTGGTCATTATCATGTATGTGGGTTCCCATTTCATTTTATTAAGTAAAAATGTGAAGCTTAATAGGATCATTCTGGCTATTGTTGTATGTAATCAACATCCGCATCAATTACAGTAAGAGAAGTTCAGTTTCTTATAGGTGACATCAATAGGCAACAGCAACAATGGTCAAGCTGTGTAGAAAGAATTATAAAAAGCAGAAACACCATTAGTATTAAGCAATCACAATGGCACACATGATATACACAAATATTGTCACTTAGGTGGGCCACTACCGGCAAAATTTTCCAATTCATAGACAAATTAACACAGCTTGGGATAGATTACACGATTAAGGGAGCAACAAAATTAATAGCTGTTGTTTTTGTTCTTCCAAAATACTCTATGCATAAAGAACTATAATCTCCTAGCTGAGAACTGGACAAATAAATTAATTGGCAAATAACACAACATGGGTTAGATTGATACCTCATCAAGTGACTAAAAAGAGTCTCAGAATTTGACAACAGAATTCTTGTTCTTCACTTAATACCACATCTAAAGCATACAGGTAGCAGTACCACTTTCTGATCCTTCAAATTTCTCTCTCAATAATGCACTATATATGTATAAGTGCAATATCAGTTCCTAGAATAATGTCTGTCGTCAAATTGGTTCCACACCAACACAGATTGGAGGCTTCCTTGTAGTGGTGCATCAGGTGATGCAATTCTATGCCTTGGACACGCTTACTTTTGGAAATATACTTGTGAGTTAAGGTGGAATTCAAGAATAAACATTCAATATTTTACTGCAAATTTTATTAAAATAAGGCTGCTATGGTAGTGTAGTTAATAGATGACATTTTGATCTGCAACGAGATAAACTTGTTATGACACATTTGGAACCCGCATCTTTTCCTTTCCAATCTTTGGAAGTTAATGTAACAGGATATGCTACTGCATGTAAAACTCAGTTCAGCTGTGCGTGCACTCATATTTTTCTGATTCAAACACGAGTCTGTTTAAGCCATCTTTGAATATAGATTTCTTCTGATATAAAAATGGATGTGATTATATATAGTTCAAGTTTGGCTAAGCATAAAAAATATACTTGCAAGTATAAGTAAATGTAAAATAAATGATCTTTTTGTTGATCAAAGTTGAATATAAGCAGGTTATGTTTGAAAGTAGTCTCTACCTTACTCCCAAAGTAAGTACCTTTTCTTTTACTTTTAGGTGTATCTTTAACTATAATTGAGAAAATTAAAGCTATCCAAACATGTGAAGAATTGTAAACTTGGAAGTAATTTTCTCCTACTACATACTCCACACATACACCACAATGGCAATATATAGCTTGCTGCCCTCCTGTGTTTGTGTTTGATTTTAATGGAGTGTAATTTGTACTTCAGCAAGGATATTGCTAAAGTGAAGGATGACCAGGAGTGGGAGATTATCGAGACGAGAAAAGCACTGTCAAGAACAGGACCTGTGAATGCGTATAAGCCTAAAAAGATTTCGCTGGAGGAAGAGCTGAAGGTATGTGTGCATGTTCATCTAAAGCTTAAAAAGTTATGATTAAATTATATGATTTGTAGCCTGTTAAACACCTCTTAAGCTTAGCCAAACTTGCTATGAGTTCTGACGAATCAAAGCTGGAAAAAAATATACTTATTTTGAAGGTATGAGTTACTTTAAAAAAGGATTTTTTTTAATTTTTTTTTAAGTAAGAAAAAAATTAGTTATCCAGACACATTTGAAGATAAAGTTACTTAAAAGTAACTTAGCTTAGCCAAACATGCTGCTCATAAATATGCTTTATATGGTTTCATAATATGTTCTATTACAGACTTTGCAGCAGAAGGTTGACATAGAAAATTATGAATACAAGAAAATTCCTAAGCCCAATGAAGAAAGGTGAAGTCAGAAGTTTCTCAAAATTTTGCCAGGCTTCGAGCATCTGTTTTCTCGACAACCAGGACCTCGATCCTTGAAAGGGCGAGTGCCTGTTTAATTGAGCCAGTGATGGATATGTAGAGAAAAACCCATCTGCACAAGTGTCTGATTTTGGTCTTAGGTGTTTTATTGATGAACCATGTTACTTTAAGCTATTGTAAACAATACTCCCTCCGTCTCAATTATATAGACTTGTTTCGTTTATCACACGAATTAAGAAATCTTCTTTAATGTTATTGGAAAATTAATTTTCGCCAACATCTTTCCTAGTTTATCTCTGTTTAATTTTCAACATGTAGTAGTAAATTATTATTGAAATTAGTATAGAATTTGAATGATGTAATTTGAAGAAGAAGAAATGAGAGTTGTTCTATGTTTTCAAGAAGTGGAAAATGTGTCTATTTGGATGATTTTAAGAAGTTGACGTATTAAGTGTAGAAAATTGAATAAGGGTATATTGGTAAATGAACAAAACAAAATATTTTAAATTAGGAAACATGTCTATCTATTTGGGACAAGAAAAAAAATGAAACTTGGCTTATATAATTAGAACGGAGGAGGGAGTATATATTACATTTATGAAAATTGAATACATTCTCTGTTTTGGGAGCGATTAGCAATATTTTCTTTTCATTCGCAATAATGTGCGGTTTTTATCAAGCAGGCACAGGCTTCAACCAATGGCTCAATTACAACTTTCTTTCAGTCCCCTAATTACATAGTTTAAGGGCATATTCGGCACTTTAAACTACTAGACTGGTCCATATATGTTTAAGGAGTATACCGAACATGTACTTCCGAGGTTATCCACTTGTAATAAATGAATTTTCCTTCTTACAAGATTGGTGTTTGGTGAAGGAATAATTGGAGGACTTGGAATTATTTTACAGCTTTACCTACTCTATTGAAATCGAAAGTGTGGTGGTTGGTAGTGATGATGACTTGTCCCAAATTGTACAACCTTTTCAAATACACTTCACTTTATCCATTGCAGACGACAACAAAACAAACAGAAGTCCACGCAGTATTCTAAACATTAGAAAACTATTTACAAGTTTTCAGGTAAAAGAGTTTCTTAGCCTATTATTACACAAGTAAAAATATCTTTGTTATGGGTAATGTTGAAGTCTGGTGACTTGGACAATACGTGCGACTTTTAGACAATTTCCTAGTCGATATGCCTTTCTAGACATATCAATTGACGACACGATCCTTTTAAGGACAAATAAGGTCCGGCCATCTGACCCACCTTTAGAAATGAGAAAGGTAATTTACTTCTTTTAAGAACTTTTCTTAAGTGAAAATCATACCTTTGAGTAGGTTGAGGTAATCATATTTAGTAGTTAATTGATAAGTGCGTTTTGTGCACTTATTTATATCATATTACTAAGTTTTTTTATCGCCAAGGTATTAATTTCTATTTAATTTGGGTAAATTTTCTTTTGTTTTTAGTTATGAAATCATATGTTGCAATTTGAAAAAAATGAAGGACAAATTGGCCATTAAATGAATGTTTGACGATTAATATTCACATAAAGAGACATTAAAGGACTTGAATTGAAATAAAGAGTACATGAGCTACACCAATAAATTTGTATCAAGGATTAACTTGCATTATTTGGAAGAAATGAGGATTTAAAGGGAAAGTAACACTTAGTTGGGCTTTGAAATTGGATTTGCAATAGGAGCGAAACTGAAAAGGAATTGGATTCTTTTTTAAGGATCATGTCACATAAATAAACTTATTTTATAAACTCCCTTGTTCACAAATGGGGGTGGGGATCACAAGCTGACATTTTTTGAATTCACGTGGGGTCCGTTAATTTTGCTAGAGTGAGTACACCATTTTATCAACAAAATTCAAATATCTTCATCCCTTTTCTAATTGGAGTGTTAATAGGCAATTGATGGGAATAGAATTAAAAAAGCAAATTGGAATCCTATTCACACTAAAAATGATGGGCTGAGGTTTAATTATAGGAATATGCTAGTTATACATCGAGTTTGACAGTTTGGGCCATATCCAATAAAAAAATTGAGGGCCCCCCCTCTTGTGAGGGGGCTATACAAACAGCTCGGTGTACGAGTAACAAGATCCTTAATTATATATACACACACAGGGGACACGATTCAGAGGAGATAAGTACAAAATTTGAAAAAGAGTACGATTCATTCGGGCATTAGAGATTGAAGTGACTGGGCTGTGGCGGACGCAGACATTTTACATTAGGGGATCACAATCAAATTTTAAAAAAAAAAAAACAACGAAATATATAAATTTTTTCAAATATAAAAATAATCAAGATAAAAAAGTAGTATAACAACTTATAACCCTTATGAAGTAATAAAAACTTTATTAAGAATTTTTACGTCCAAAAAAAATAATTTGACGTCATACCACATATAAAATTTTCTAATAAAATGATGTAAATTATATTGAGAAATTTTTGGCGCAAAAATAATAAATATTAATAAAATAATTGATTTTTTTTATGAGTTATACGTTTATTTTTAGCACATATGTTTGATGTACGTTTAATTATTTTCGATATTTATTTAGATCATTCGGTACATTTATGATATAGTTCTTGAAATGAACTTTGAGAGGGTGTAGAAGATTTATGGATATGGTTAGCGTATAATCGTCGAAAATTTTTCAAAGTTAGCTTGTTATCGAAATTCTCAAAATATTAGTTTGAAACTATCTATTTTGACCCATCATAATATTTATTACGATCGTCCATTTTACACAACATTAACGACGTGAAAATGCTGGGTTGTGAGTACTTCAAAATGATATTAAGAATGTAATATTTTAATTTCGTTTGATATTTTATAGTGAGTTGAAAAATTAAGTCGAAAAAAAATAGTTGAAAAAATTGGAGGGTCAAGTGATCCGAAAGGACCCCTTGGGTCCGCCCCTGTGACTGGGAATAAAAAACATAACTTAATTATTTTTCTTTTTCAGCAGCCTACCAATTGGTTCCCACAGCATCCACCGACTTTTTTTTTCCCGCGGTATTCGTCATTTTCTTTTCTGCCTCCGTTTTCTGCGTGCATATATAATTCCTCTCTTTTTTTATTCCCAGCCACTTCAATCTCTTATGCCCGAATGAATCGTATTCTTTTTCAATTTCTGGACTCGCATTTCGACAGCACTAAAACCACCAAGTCGAAAAGAAAGTGTACAACGAACAAATTCCGATAATTAAACCTCAGCCCACCACTTTTATTTTTTAGTGTGAATAGGATTCCAAATTGCTTTTTTAACTTAAATTATTCTAGTAGTACATCATCATGTACCAAAAGGTGTTCATAGTGGACACTCGACGCCCCCTATTGAAGGGGCGCCCATCCAATCAGGGGCACCGGGTAATGGACACCTTTCGGTACCCCCTTTAGCCCACCGACGTCCCTCCAATAGGGGGCGCCGAGTAATGGACACCCTTCGATACCCCTTTAGGTACCACTAGAATAATCATTTTAACTTTATTCCCCATTAATTTCCGATTACCACTCCAATTAGAAAAGAATTCAATTCCTTTTCAATTTCAAAGCCCAACTAAGTATCATTTTCCCTTCAAGTCCTCATTTCTTCCAAATAATGCAAGTTAATCATTGATACAAATTTATTTGTGTAGCTCATGTACTCTTTATTTCAATTCAAGCTCTTTAATTTCTCTTTATGTGAGTCTTAGTCTTTGAACATCCATCTGATAGCCAATTTGTCTTTCATCCTTACCAATTGCTTCACATGAGTCCATCACTAAAAACAAAAGAAAATTAACTCAAGAAATAGAAATTAATACCTTGACAATATAAATGCTTAGTAACATGGCCTAAATAAGTGTACTAAACGCACTTATCATAAATCATCATTTTCATTAATCTATCCAATATAATAATAACTATCAAACCTAATTTAAAATGAAACGTAGTTTCTCTGACATCATTCTATCGACTTATGACCAAATTTTACGTTGGATTTGTCCCAATTATATACGATTAGAGTAAAAAAGATATTTGTCAAGTACTATGTACTAAAAATGTCCTAAATAAAAGTTGAAAAAAAAAAAAAAAAGTTCAAGCCTTTTTGAACTCTTCTTTAATGTGACCATGACATTAATTTTCTTGCAAGACTCCCACCTACAATTACCAACCACCCCACTACCATATCCTCCTTGACAAAATAAATGTTAAATCCTAACTCACCCCATGCGCACCCACCCCACATTCGTACACGTGTCTTCATCCAAACTAATGATCATCCAACGGCCATATGGGATTTTCAACTAACACTTCGGCCTGCTCACCCAGGCAACAATCAATGTCGAACGAACTTCTATTTAATCAAACCAAAGCTGTCTCTACAAACTCAGGAAATTCAGCTTATAAGCTTAATTTTCATAAGCTTTTCAAGTTCCTTCTTTTCTTATTCTCTTCATCACGTTCTATTCTTGTATAGGCAATTATTCAATAAACTCGTTATTACTCGTATCTTTCTTATCGTTACTTTCGCTCAAATTCTTTTCAACTAAGGTTAATTGGTTACAAATTTTAGCCCATCGAGTAATCCACAATGGAATATACTAATTTAAATTGCAATGAGGCCGGCGTTGGCGAATTTTGTGTTCAAGTGAAGGATCCATTGAATTGGAACGTGGCTGCGGAGTCACTAAAGGGTAGTCATCTCGACGAAGTCAAACGCATGGTGGAGGAATACCGGAAACCGGTGGTACGGCTAGGTGGGGAAACACTTACCATATCTCAAGTGGCGGCAATAGCTACTCGAGAAACCACGGTCGCCGTGGTGCTAGCGGATGCCGCCAGGGCCGGCGTCACTGCCAGCAGTGACTGGGTGGTGGATAGTATGAACAAAGGGACAGATAGCTATGGTGTAACCACAGGTTTTGGTGCAACATCACATAGGAGAACCAAAGAAGGTGGAGCTCTACAAAAGGAGCTTATTAGGTAAAACCATACACACAGTAAATTATGTTATAGCTCTCATGTCATAATCATTATTTACATTATTCGTGGATTTTAATGTCACTTTTATACATGGTCTCATTAATGTTTACGTAGTTAGGATGATATGGATAGAAGACAATTTTTTTATTTTATTTTATATTTTATTTGTTATTTTGATGAATCATATACTGTTGGAAAATTATATTAGTTTACTTTCATATGGAAAAACTGGTTTTCTATTCTTGAACTCGTGCTTTGAGTTCGAAGGATTTTCCGGAACAACACAAAAGTTGTACAAATCTTCAAAAGTCACAGATTTTATTTTATTTTTCTTTGAAATTTTCAGATTTCTGTAAATCATACGGAGAAAAGTGAAAAGAGTAAAGTGATTAAGTAAAAGAAATATTTAAAATTTAAAATAAAGTATAAATTAATATCAATTTATTAACATGGGATACTTTACCTCCTCCTGACTTTTGATTAATAAAATTTTTATTTATTTAAAAAAAAAAACTTATTAATTTCCTTATAAGATTAATTATATTTCAATCCAACTTAAATTTTCCTATTCATCACATCCATTAAGAAGGATGAATAATTTGGTTTAAAAATCAATGCATTGCTACATCTGATCTTTGTTTGTTAATCTATCAACAGATTTCTGAATGCTGGAGTATTTGGCAATGGAAATGAATCGTCCCAAACTCTGCCTCGGTCTGCCACAAGGGCTTCAATGCTTGTTAGAATAAACACATTGCTTCAAGGATATTCAGGCATCAGATTTGAAATCTTGGAAGCCATGGCCAAATTACTTAACCATAAAATCACCCCATGCTTGCCCCTCAGGGGCACCATTTCTTCATCTGGTGATTTAGTCCCTCTGTCCTACATTGCTGGGCTCTTGACCGGCCGGGCTAATTCGAAGGCAGTCGGACCTGATGGGGAAATTCTTGGTGCATCCGAAGCATTCTACCTTGCCGGAATCGATATCGGATTCTTCGAGTTGCAGCCAAAAGAAGGACTTGCATTAGTAAACGGCACTGCAGTTGGTTCTGGTTTGGCTTCAATTGTTCTGTTTGAGGCTAACATTCTTGCTGTTTTGGCAGAAGTTTTATCGGCAATCTTTGCTGAAGTTATGCTAGGAAAGCCTGAATTTACGGATCATTTGACTCATAAGTTGAAGCATCATCCTGGACAGATTGAGGCCGCTGCTATCATGGAACACATTCTTGATGGAAGTTCATTTATTAAAGAAGCTCAAAAAGTACACGAAATGGACCCTTTACAAAAGCCTAAACAAGATCGTTATGCGCTTCGTACCTCGCCCCAGTGGCTTGGTCCACAAGTCGAAGTCATTCGGGCTGCAACAAAGTCCATTGAAAGAGAGATCAATTCTGTTAATGATAATCCATTGATTGATGTTTCGAGGAATAAGGCATTACATGGAGGGAATTTTCAAGCCACCCCTGTTGGAGTGTCAATGGATAACACTCGTTTGGCCATTGCTTCGATAGGAAAACTCATGTTTGCACAATTTTCTGAGATGGTTAATGACTTCTACAACAATGGGTTGCCTTCGAATCTCTCCGGGGGACGTGATCCGAGTCTTGACTATGGATTCAAAGGCGCAGAAATCGCAATGGCTTCTTATTGTTCCGAACTCCAATTTCTTGCCAATCCAGTAATGTTTCTTGTCTTCAATATACACCTCATGTTTTTCATCACAGGCCTCAAACATGCACAATTTTCATAATAGAGTGGCAGTGGGACTTGATCCCAATACTTTTTGTGTTCTAATATTTCTTTTAACCACATCATCTCAATGCTTAAGCCAATAGTTTAGGATACATTTATTTATTAAAATCTTGTCTTCAACAGGTAACCAACCATGTGCAAAGTGCTGAGCAACATAACCAAGATGTCAACTCTTTGGGACTAATTTCTTCAAGAAAAACAGCAGAAGCCGTCGATATATTGAAGCTCATGTCGTCTACTTTCCTTGTTGCTTTATGCCAAGCCATTGATTTGAGGCATTTGGAGGAGAATTTGAAGGCCTCTGTGAAAAATACAGTAAGTTTAATTGCCAAGAAAGTTTTAACGACGGACTCCGATGGACAGCTTCACCCTTCCTGGTTTTGTGAAAGAGACTTATTAAAAGTGGGAGATAGAGAGCATGTATTTGCCTACATTGATGATCCCTGCAGTGCTACCAGTCCGTTAATGCAAAAATTGAGGCAAGTTCTTGTTGATCATGCCCTGATGAATGCTGATGGGGAAAGGAATGAGAGCACTTCAATTTTCAAGAAAATTAGTGTCTTTGAGGAAGAATTAAAGGCCCTTTTGCCTACTGAAGTCGAAAATGTTCGACTCGAGGTGGAAAATGGTAAGCCGTCTATTGCTAACCGCATCAAGGATTGTAGGTCGTATCCACTGTACAAGTTCGTGAAGGAAGAACTGGGAACTAGTTTCTTAACTGGCGAAAAGGTCCGTTCGCCGGGCGAAGAGTTTGATAAGGTATTCACAGCTATGTGTGAAGCGAAATTGATTGATCCATTGCTGGATTGTTTGAAGGAATGGACTGGTGAACCCCTTCCCATTTGCTAATATGTCTTTACTTTGAAGTTGAACTCAGATTAAAGGACTAAAATGATATAATCCTATTTATTATATTGTCTAATGAGGGATGCTATATGGATAGGCGGCACAGACAACCGGTCAATAGGGGGCCAACAGGGGTTGTCCGAGGAGTTTTATCATTGTCTAATCGTGTCAGTGTGTCACATGCCTCCCAACGTATCCATATGCTTCTAATTTAAATACTTTTGAGTACACGTTTGGGTTTTTTGTAATTTGTGAGCTTCTTTCATTATCCTATTATCTTTTGGTAATATCTGAATGGTAATAAATAAAATCGTTTTCATCTGCTCGTTTGGTGAACCTTCAAACCGAACAAAAATTCGAGTCAACTAAACATGGGAGGGGTTTCAATTTTTAAAAAAGATTTGACTACTTCAATTAATAAGTTAACCCTTTATAATGAAACTCTTTTTATCAAAACTTTCTAAGATAGAACATTATGACTAAAGAAAAAAGGCATGTTTACTGCTGAGTCAAGTATAGCTTGACTCGTTAAACACCCCTTAAGGTCATTGTATTCTAGGTAATATCATCTTTCTTGGACATGATTAATATTGGCTAAGCTTAAAAAATAGACTTATAAAAGCAAGCATATTTAGTTTTAGCGTGTGTTTGGGAGCGATTCCTTGTAAATTTCAATGAAAATTTTGTTCGTTACACAAGGTAAATGGGCCCCACGTCTGCAACGAAATTGGCAAAAAAAGGGTAAAAACTGCAGCTATCTTTCACCTAGTATTTGAAATGTCAAAAATGTCCTTGTAATGGTGTGGAATTTCAAAAATGCAGGGACGCCATGGTCTTTCCACTAAAATTTCTAATTGACTTGATAGTGCAGTAAAAAAAAATGCTACAACATTGTGGGCCCCATTTTCTGTAGGCAACGGACGAATTTCTCATTATAATTTAGAAAGATTCGCTCCGTAACACACGCTTAATATACTTATTTTTTATCCGTCAAAATTGAAAATAAGTAATTTCTCATTTGAAATTAGCGTCTACTTTAATATTAATAGAATGAATCAACTGATTGATGAGTCTAGACTTTTTAGACTCAAATGATGGATATGCAAGCATGATAACTTATTACCGGTTTAGCGTACAATGTATTTGGAAGCTCTCGGCCAAATGAATATTTTACAGTTCCAATTGAACACTTTCCATTTTTGATTATTATCAAAGGGGAAGATAATTCTCTTTGTAACGAAGGGGATTCTTGTTGATCCAAATTACAATTAGTAAATTGGATGGGTCGGTTTGAAAATAAATGAATTGCTAGTCGTAGAATATTATTCTCGTTTGGTTCCAATGTAAGAGATCTTGTAGTACTTACCAATGAGGCCCTATCGATAAGTAAATAATCAAATATGTTGAGAAATAAAAAAATTACATAAAAATAAATTGTAATAACTTTTGCACTTGCCAAAGTATCAAAACAAAAACATCACTTGAATCGTCTGGTCATGACCTTGTTGTTTAAGGATATTTTATCGATTAATTCTTCACCTTGTTCTTAAAGTTTTGTCGATCAGTTCTTAACTTTTTTTTTCCCAATATTCTTTTATCAGCCGACATCGATTGGTCTTGAACTTAGAGTGTGTTTGATTGGCATGGAAAATATTACCTAGAAAAGAAAATATTTTCCATCTTTTGTGGAAAATAAAAACCACCTCTACTCAAAGAAAATATTTTCCTTAAAAACAAGGAAAATTAGGCATACTTTCAAAAGTTGGAAAATGTTTTCCATGGAAAAAAATAGCAATCAAACACTCCAAGTAAGAATTTGGGTAGAAAATTAATATTTTCCATGGAAAATAATTGTAATCAAACACACCCTTATTTAAGACCTTATTTTAACAATTTTATAGAGAGAGCACATCTATAAACCATGTCCTATTATTTCTCCTAGTAATCCTCCGAATCACTATTAAGTAACTGAAAAAGAACGACAAAAATCGTTGCCAAGAACAACAATGTAACCACTAGGCGCGGAGCCAGCACCCGACGAGGGGACGGCCGCGCGTGCTGGCTCCGCAGAAATTTGTAGAACTGTTGGGTAGCCGTTCACCATCAATAATTGCGAATTTTGGGCCTCTTATTGCTTAGCAGAATTGTCCAATTAACCTAGAATTGTGAAATGCCCAAATCCAATTCCCCTAAATTGCCAAATGCCCAAAGCCTTTCCTCACTTCTTTCTTTCTCCAGACTATGCGACCTAGCTCTCCACTCCACTGCTCTAGGAGGCAGATGTAGCATTCGCCGGAGCCCGGAGCCAAAGCAACGAACGACGTGTTCTAGGAGTGCGAGACTTGCTTCTGTTGGCTGCTGCAGTGAACAGACCTTGCATCCCTGCTGGTGAGTGGTGACCGTTTCTTTTCTTTCCCTCTTTTTTTTTTCTTGTTCTATTTTTGTTTTGGCCATTTTGATTTTGTTCTATTTTGTTTTGGCTAGCCCATTTCCTACTGTGTTTGCGTACTCGACTTGGAGTTGTTGTCTTGTTGATGTTGAGTATTGTCGTATTGAATAACTTAATGTTAATTATGTTATGATTTATTCATCTGGAAATTTATTTTTGCGAATTGTAATTTATGAATTATGATAAGTAATTTACGTTTTATCATGAGTTATATTTAATTGATTATTGATTTGAAAATTTATGTTTAAGAAATTATATTTCACTACACCAAAAATCACTTTTTGCAACGGGTAAAAAACATTGCCGTAGACCTATCGCAACGTTCAGACGTTTGTTGTGGGTTTCAACTTTGCCGTAGAGCGAAGAGTTTTGACAACGTTCATTGCGCGTTGTGGAAACTTGGTTTTCGTAATGTGCATTGAACGTTGCGAAAACACCCTTTCGGCAACGTGAGATGCACGTTGCAAATGAGACTTTTGACAACGTTCATTGAACGTTTAGGTCGTTTACAAATTTTTTTTTCTATTTGTATAACAATTTACCAAATCAACAACAAAATGAAAAAAGATTGTTTGGGCTTTCAATTGATATAATTTTATTAATTCACACCAAATAGTCAAAACACATCATTGTAATAAATCGAGGAGAAATTTTGATTTACATATTGCCCATCAAATAAACATCATCTTACACTCCTCTTAAACAACAGAAAATTATTGTATAAAAGAAGATAATTTACAACTTGTTGCCTTCAAATTGTTGGGTTGGCTAGTTCTAAAAAATCCTTCCCGTTACTTTCTTTTTGACTTGCACCTATCTTTTGAATGCAATGGGTAAATTCAACCTTCATGATCGCCACAGAAAAGCTTGTCCTTAGAAAACTCAGATCGAGTATGAATCTGAGTTCAGATAATACAATAGAAATTTAGTTATCCATTGAAATAAATTAAAGGCTGGACAAAACATAAACTGGCTGAAGGCGTAAAATATGTAAGAGATTTTTATGAATGCATTGGTCAAGACTAAAATTGGCCCATAGATTGATGATGCTTGTACTTAAAGAGAACATGAAAACTCACAGCCAATATGTTATCAATTTCATTTTGTATCCTCCAGTTCGAGAAATCAATCAGCTGAAACATGAAGTATGATGGTAAGAATACTTGAAATCCATAAACTTGATTCAAGTCAGATACTCTTTGGGATTTTCTTAGAATGTGTCGTACCATTTTATACGCATTGGAGACATTCCTATCCCTTGCTTTCAGAAATCTCACCAAATTCTCTGTGGGGTACTTAGAACTCAATTGCTGGGAACCATCACTTACTAATTCACGTATAATTGCTGGGAACCAAGTTAAGCCAGGGGGTGATAACCACAGTGAAACAAAAGAATAAAGGCTGCAGTGGGTGCTCTTTATTCTTTGACTTACTCATGGAAACCAAGTACACTCTATATGGCAAGACTCATAAGCCCATGCACACTTCTCCTGCACGTAAATATTTCTATTCTACCACGAAATCTAAAATTCCATCACTTAGCAAAATTTAAATAAAAATAAAAAATACTGATCACAAGCCAATTGATAAACTAGAATTGAAACACAGCCATGGAAAATCAGGACCAAGGAGTGAGAACTGTTCACACGCAATTGACAACTATACTTCCACTGACGTCCAACAAGAGACAATCCTAACATTGGATTTGTCCCATTGAAAATCTTATATTGCTGAGCAACAAAAAAATGTCGTAACATGAAGTCTTTTAGGGTGTTGAAGATGAGATGTTGTGGTCCTACATGGAGTGATTTGTCATTAATAAAATCTATCAGAGAAAAAGAACACATCCAATAGCCATCCAGAAATTAAAAGCACATTAAGTCAAGGGTGGGTTTCTTAAATAGGAAAGCACCTATTCCTACCACTTCAATTACTAGACACAATCAAGTCTATAAAATGGCCCATCTCCACTTGTGGACGCAAATTCGGGAAAGCTAGTTGTTGGGCTCTATGGTTTACTCGTGAGAATGATGCGGGTTTTGAAATCTTGGATTACAAATTGTAAAGATGGATTGGCTTCTTCCAATATCAGCAACATAATGTAATCTTCGTGCTTAAAAACTTCATTTCCTTGTGAAAGCACAAAAAAAAGAAAGAGAGACAAATACTATACTAAACAATACCTAATAAAGAAAATACTCACATTGAATTGTGCATCCAAATCAGCTTGGCCTTCAATGATTTCAATAAGTTCTTGCACTCGCTTGGGAGGAGCTTTCTCTCCAAATATGTTCAGGTTTTTTAAAAAGTCCATAAACATTTTAAATTCAGATCCTGTTACATCTTGTAGACTCTGAATTTAACCCCCAGTCAATCTGGAATCTTGTTCTAAAAATACCATATCAAAAATAGTTATGCATAATTGATATAACAGTAGCAATTTTCTTTACTTTCTACCAAGAAAATTTCATACTAAAGGAAGATATATTACTCCGCTATCTTTTGTGAAGAAGAATTAAATAATGAAATATGTATCCTTCACCACAAGAGAAGAAAATGTGGGGACCAATACAGTGACGATATACCTTTTTAATAAGGTCAGTTATGTGTCTTTCCATTTGATCGGAAGGCTTCAAGAGCTCGGCTTTAAGAGGAAATACCTGCATTAAATATTTCCAATAGAAGGACCAAGTCATTGCATTATTTAGCTCTACCCGTTTAAACCAAAAACAACCATGAATCAACTAAATTGGCATGGAGTTACAGTGTTTATCTTCCCACCTTATCCCTAAATATAAGTGAACTAATGAGGAAACTCACAAAGAAGTAAGGTATAGAAGCTCTGCAACCAACTAGAGTCAGGTAAAAGACACACCCCAGAGCAGATGTGGTTCGCCGCTCAGACGCCGAAAGGCGTTCACACGTGATGCAATAGCCATTAGAAATAAGCATGAAAGATACAAAAGTAATTGTCTGAAATAGCACTCCAATAACATAGGCTTCCAAAGACGTTCATAAAGAGCATACGTGCGTGTAAAAACACGAATTCCTGAAGCAAAACATGATCAATAAACAGCATATTAAATAACAGTAACAAAAAAACTTGTACATTATTAGCACAAAGGTACATAGTTTCAACTTTCAAGTATAAAAGCGTACCAGAAAAGGAAAGATAAAGCGTGTTGCAAGGCTTTAATCAATGGAACAGAGGCAAGCGCCCACTGCAATCTATTTGCCTGTTCTAGAACGTATAAAGAACAATCACAGAGGAATAATAAATTAACAACAATGACATATTATTAGCAATAAAACATTAACCAGAAGCAAAAAAATCCCATTAAATTGGAAAAAATGTCAAAAACTAATGATCAATCATACACTTCATTTATGGATGCTCTAAACAAAGAAAATTGGAGAAACCACGACAAAATTAATAAATCCCACAAAAAATAATCAAGAGTTCAAAAAAGGAATTGAAAATATTGGACCTTTAGCAATTTAGCTGAATCCCATTAAACTGAATTTATTTTTAATTCAACCATTTTATCCTATATTCTCACAGATTAAGAGCAGCTAGAAATAAAATAAATTTAATTAAATCGAAAAAAATGACCTGAAAATGGCGATAATTGTAGGTATTCAAAGCCCAAGAAAATGCAGAGAAGAACTAAATGACCATAAAAGCCAAGTAGAGTGGTGGCAGCGGCCGGTACACAGCGTCTACTCCGTCACTATACGAACCCATACTCTTTGCATTCTCCATTTTCACACGTTTAATTTGTTCAAAGTAATGCACTGAGCGGGGAGAGTGAGCGGTGGTGGGGAGAGTGAGAACGGTGGTGGGAGAGCGAGAGAGGGGGAAGAAATTAGGGCTGGTTTGACTTTATACCAAACTAATAGGGTCGGGTCAGGTTGGGTTTTGTATGATTTTATATTTAACGTTGAATTTAGTCAATTTACTACGAATAAATTAATGACAACGTTCAAAGAATGTTGTCAAAGATACTTACTCGCAACGTTCATGAAGAAATTAGGGCTGGTTTGAGTTTATACCAAACTAACAGGGTCGGGTCAGGTTGGGTTTTGTATGATTTTATATTTAACGTTGAATTTAGTCAATTTACTACGAATAAATTAATGACAACGTTCAAAGAATGTTGCCAAAGATACTTAATCGCAACGTTCAATGAACGTTGCTAAAACAAACCAACGGCAACGTTCTTTGAACGTTACTAAAACAAATCAACGACAACGTTCAATGAGCATTGCTAAAACATATACATCAACGTGCATTGCCCGTTGCAAAAACTTGTTAACGACAACGTTTATGAATGTTGATAAAACTGGTTAATGGCAACGTTCAATAAACGTTGTCGTTAACAAGTTCTTGCAACGGGCAATGCACGTTGCCAAAAGTAATTAACGACAATGTTCAATGAACGTTGCTAAAACATCTATAGCAACGGTTAATGCATGTTACCGGAAAAAAAAAGGTTTTTAAATGTTGCGAAAAGGGGTATTAGCAACAATCACTCAAAAAACGTTGCTAAATCTTAATTTTCTCAACCAATGGCAACATGGATTTGGTGAATGTTGCAATAAACCTCTTTTAGCAACATACAATTGGTGAATGTTGCCATTTAAATGTTGTAAAAGGCTATTTTTCTTGTAGTGTTTGCAAATTGTGATTTATGATAAGTAATTTATGTTTTGATGATGATTGATTATTGATTTGGGAATTTATATTTACGAAATTATATTTGCGAATTGTGATTTATGATAAGTAATTTATGTTTTGATGAGGAATGATCATTGATTTGGGAAATTATGTTTACGAATTTATGTTTGCAAATTGTGATTTATGATAAGTAATTTATATTTTGAGTTTAGATTATTGATTTGAGAATTTACATTTAGGAAATTAGGATAAGTAAAAAAATTTAATTGAGAAAATGTTAGCCGCTCAATTCAACCTGTGAGTACTTGATTTTTTTTAATCAATTGTAATTGAAAAATAAATAGGGGCATTTTGCAGATTATGGAATGATTTTTTCAATTGAAATGAAAGTCTATATGATTTTGACGTTTTAGTTCATATATATATATATATATATATGTAACCAAATTATAATAAACGATTGGACTATTACAACCATCCGCCCTAGTTGGACTTCGATCCTGGATTCGCCACTGGTAACTACCCTACTCTTCATGTATGTATTGATTATCATGTTGCAGAACATCAGCGGTGCACTCTCCGACCTCGCCAAGGGTTGATTGCGGACATGCCTGTAGCTGAATGGCGCCATTGATAGTGGCTGTGAGCCAGCCCTGCTCGGACCAAGCCACCTAGGCAACCGCCTAGGGCCTCTAAAAATGTGGCTTGGGCCAGGGTCTCAAAACTCATAGTAATACCATCAGGGAAATCTAGCAGTCTAGTAGAAACTTAGGCCCTTTAGGAAATTGAACGGACACAGGAAAGAAATTGAAGGGACGAGAACGAAAGGAAATTGAGGGGAAGGGACCAATTCGACTAAAAGGTAGTAAGTCATCTTCTTCAATTCAGATTTCAGTATGGTGATTACTTGTTTGTTCCTTTTTATATTTTCATAATTAACCCTTTCTCCAGATTTTCCACCGATAAAATACGTTTGAAATTTGGATTTGAATCTATAGAGACTTTAGAGAAGAACATAGTAAAAAATGGTGTTCATTACTGAAGATATCATCAAGCAATTTGGAACTACGATGAAAAAAAGTCAGCTTTCTCATAAATCTAGATCTGGGAAGCACTGATATGTTGCTAATTTGCATTGCAGTTGATCTGCAGATGAACCATTGAAGAAGACTTTTGAGGTTTGTCATCATTACTAATCTTTTTTTTGCAAATTGATTTTCTCGAATCTGGGTTTTGCTCTCTTGTTTTGTTTGTTTATTCACTTATTTATTGTTTGAACTGGGGAATTGGATATTGGGATAGTAAATATGTAGTCAAAGAACTTCTATAATTTAAGAGAGGATGTGACTAATAGTTCAAAAATTATGTTTTGTCTAGTCAACTGGAATGCACAAACTTGGACATTGGGAGGGTATATTTGAGTTTATGAGAGATCAAAATTGAAGTTCTAATGAAAATGCGATCTTCAGATATGTCGAGTTTTCGTTTGATTTGGTTTGGTTTTGTTCTGTGATTCAATTTTTACACAAGAATTTGGTGTCCATTGAGTTGTCGCGAAATTAGGAGTTGGAGTTCTAATGTAATCTTCTTTTGTATACATAGGGCCTCAAAATAATTTTTCGCTTAGGGCCTCCAAATTCTTAGAGCCGGTACTGTCTGCGGGCAATACTGCCACCAAGTTCACAGCAGCGTTAATCTTGTTGGAAGCATTTGAGCATCATCATCATCAAGTTAATTTGGCTTATATCTATAATTGTTGTCTTTTTATTCCTTTACGGTTTTGTAGATTTCCTTGTGTATATTCTTTTCGTAGTCCTTTTTCACATTGTTTATGGGAAGTTTACTGTGTACCTTTTCCTTGGACATAAACTTTTCCTATAGGAACATGCTGAAAATCTATTTGCATCAGTAAATAAAAAATTGAATCTTGCTCCTTGCACCTTTTCCGGACTTCCCTACATACCAGTGGAGGGAAGTTATCGCCTTCTTCGACACCTTAAAACAAAGACATCAACGTTCTTTTAACTTGGTCAGCAGCCCCCATTTTTTCCCAACGATCTTCCATCAGGAAGGAATTGGAATGGAATAAGATCACTTCAAACATTGTACCTATAGGATAGAGATAGAGGAAGATGGGGGGAAGATTAAAAAGTTCATTGAGTAATCCATTGAGTCTTGGAATTACATGAAAGCGGAATCGTACGTCTACAAAATCAACCTTTTGATCCATCCATACAAAAAGTAAATCTCAACCAATGTTAAGTGAAAATCCACTTCCAACAAAAATTTCATAGAATTATGTCATCAGTTTGTTAATCATCAGTGACTTTCTCAAGGACCATTTCCACAGAAAAATTCAAAAAATGGATGCCCAAAAATGCAATTATTCTCAGAAGGAATTGGACTACTAGGAGTGGAATTCTCTGCACTGTTAGGGCTTCTTGTTTTTGCTTGTAAAATGCCAGTTGGGTGTACTGGGAATAAATCCAATGTTTCTTGATTAGACCACTTCTTGTTGGAAATGACATCAAACTCCTCGTTTCTGCTTCTGGGATGAATGACTTTGTCCTTGTTTTTTCCAATGTTTTCTGGGATTATTCTGGTATTGAATCCTCCGGGTAGTGGCACAGGCACCTTTGAGTACTGCGAATTGAACCCTAAATCACTCTGAGGCGGTTGTACGTAATATGGACTGCGGACAACTGAAAACTATAAAACCATTAAAAAGAAATCACGTGCTGAAATATAAATAAACAACTTCAAGAGACTTGTTCCTGATAAACTATATTCTTTATAAGAATTCAAATTATATATCGGATAAAGTTTTATCCACAACTGTCAACTCACCGCAACCTTCCTTTACCAAAGTTCAAAACTGGGTACAAAAGAGCGGAGTTCTAAAAAATGGAGTAAATATATATGATTCTGGTAGAGTGGAAAACCTGAGGTTGTGTGAAGAAAACAATTGATAGATGAACAACAAGATATAATGTTACAAGATCCTTAACAACTGTTTATGATCCTTTGATCAAAAAGATTTCTCACGACACAAAACCTAGACAGAATTACTCCAAAAAATGCATTAAAAAATGGAGTAAAAATAAACAAATAAACAATACCATTTTGGTATGTAGGAATCACTGGGGTAGTGTGAAGAAAGCGATTTAAATAAGCAATATTTTCCTGTTTCTGCTTCTGTCTTTGTCTTGCCTTGTGATTCTGAAACCAATAGAAAACATTCTTCCCTTCAATGTGACCATAAACCCTAAGCTTTTCAGTAATCTGCTGAATCTGTTCTGCACTTGGAGTCCTTAGTCCCTTCATATATAAACCCTCAAGCATATTTATTTGCTCTTTTGTGGGATTCCATCTTGACCCTGAAGATGGACTATTACTGCACAGATTTTCACCCTCCATTTTTAAATGTTAGCCGTAGAAAAAATTTGCTGCAGGTTTCATTTAAGCATTTTTTTGTAGGATTTTATAGGGATAAGGAAAGTAAATTACCCCAGCAATCAGCCAATCATGTTTACTGTTTACATATATATGCGTGTAATTATTCATACAGAAAGTTAAAGAGTCAAACAAGAAACTGGTAAAACACACACGCATATATATGTAAAAGAGACGGGTATAAAAGAGACGGGTAATTTAACTTGCATGCGTATAGTTTTTGGTGCATAATATTGCTGAAAACATGGTGGATAGCAGCTGTTGTAGGTTATGTGAAACTGCATGCAGAAAAAGACTAAAGTAACCCTATCTATAGGGTACTTGTCTTGGGAATGTAAGATGGTCTAGTGAGTAAATTCGAAATATTACCAGGGGAGAGCTAGAGGAGGAGGCGTATTTAGGGGAAAGAGAGGAAAAACTGGCTGTTGGGTTTCAAAGGTATAGGGACCTAGGCTTTGGAAACTGAAGAAAAATGTGCAGTGAGTAGTGTGTGTAGAGAGAGGGAGAGATTTGATTAAGAAAAATTACTTTGAGATTTGAGAATTGGTTTTGCTTCTCGATTCATTGCGATTAGGGTCCTGCACACGTTACTTAACTTTGTTGGTTTAGGAATTGGAATTGTTTACTTTGAAAAACATTAGACAAATAGGTATGTACAGGATTCTTGAAAATTAAATTACATAGGAATTGACATTTGCTATCTAAAGTTTGCTGTCCAACTTGTCGTCCACTTAATAATTTATTGACATATCATTTACATCTATTTTAAAGCAAAAGTGACAATGAGAGAAAAGTTGGGCATGTTAATTTAAAGTAATGTATCAATAAATCATTGAGTAGACAGCAGGTTGAACAATCAATTTTGGACAGCAGATGTCGACTCATATACATAGGCATGAGATAAATGTATATACGAGAGAATAATGTTGCTGGTACATAATGAAGTATTATAATGGTTTATATTTAGATAATGTGTCAAAAAGTTAATGATGAAATAATTTCATTGTTTTTATCTGGTTGAAGAAATTCTATCCAATTATATTTCATTACACAATGTTTACGTAAGTTATTATGTACATGTAACCAGGGACGAATACAGCTGCTCGAGCGAGCTAGGGCGGAGAGTGGAGCATTTATCAAACACCGTCCAATATAGCGATATTGTTTACTAATATTTAATTAACTTATATTAAAAGAATCTCCAATCAATATATAAATGCACTAAAATGTAAAATAATATAAATATTAAAATATAATTCAGTACAACTCAAAATAATAAAGAATAAAAATACATTTTTTGAGTCATATACCTATTATCAAGTTTCAAATTTTTATGAATTTAAGCGAGACAAGATGAAGTTTATATGTATTGATTAATCGATAAAGAAAAAAAATTAAAAAACAATGAATTTTAGAGCTATTTTTGCCCCCAAAAAGAAAAGTATTTTTCAAACTCTTATAAGAACAAAGAATTTTACAAAATAAATTGATAAAACTTAACAATTAAAGTATATATTATGAAATAATAATTTCGGTCAATAAATTTTTAAAGCAATGATTTTTAAAGCTATTTTTACCCGAAAAAAGAAATCTTTTTTTCAAACTCTTAAAATAATAAAGATCAGTAATTAAATTGTCCAAATTTGAATTTTACAAAATAAATTGATAAAATATAATAATAAAAGTATATACTATGAAGTAATAATTTGAGTTAACAAATTTTTTTAAAGAAATTTTTTTAGAAACAAAAACTATTAATATAGAATTGTTTAATTATTATTTATTGTGTTAAAAAATTAAAAAGAAGAAGAGGTGAAGGGAATCGAATCCCATACCTCCGATATGATAAAAATGGAATTCCCAATTGAGATACAAAGCTACATCGGTGCTAGTTAAAACAAAATAGTATACAATTATTTAACTATTATTTATTGTATTTGAAAAATTAAAAGAAGAAGTGGAAAGGAGAGGAGTCGAACCAGATACCTCTCACTTGTAAAACCAATGCCCTACCAAAATGAGCTACAATCATAATTGTGAATGAAGGTACAATTTTACATATTTAACATAATAACTATATCAACGTGAAAATCCTTTCCTGCTGGAGCCAGCACGGGCGGCCGCGCCGGCTCGCCGGGTGCTGGCTCCGCCAGTGCTTGTAACACAACTATATATGAGTTAGTGGTCACGTTGTGTAAGTTCATGAGCGTTCCGAACTCACCAAAATTTTAGACGATACCCCTAGAAAATGATAGCGTTTGGCCAACATTGACCTACCGAAGTTATGTTCTTTCTTTAGTACTCTTTGCCTCCCATGAAGATGAGCTTATCTCTATTTTTACACAAATTAAGTAAACTTAATTAATATATATCGAAACTATAAATTTTAATTACATTTTTTCATAATTTACCACTAAATTGAATAAATGGTAGCTCATATTTGTTGATAACAATACAAATTAAACAAAATTATATTAAAAAATTAAGACATTATTTGGAGGGGGGAAAAAAAAACAAAGCGTATTTTTGTGGGACAGATGTAGTATATCTTTTTTGTAACTATCCTATTTGTTAAAGCTTATAGGAACTTATAAAATGATAAAACTCTATTTTTATCTACAAATTTTATAGAATTCACAAATTTTAAGTACTTAATCACGCATTCTTTAAAACTCGCCTAAGTTGTTTGGCTAAATACCCAAAAAAAAAAAAAAAGTTGGCTAAATTTTAACTACTTAATCACACATTTTTTAAAACTCGCTTCACTGAGTTGTTTGGCTAACTAGCCAAACCCCCCAAAAAAAAAAATCATACTCAAAATATTAAAGAAACAGCAGTCTGCCAAATAGGCAAATGAGGCATCTTATTACTATAGAGATCATTCAGAATCAAGAAGAGAATACTTCTTTCCCACTTGAATACATGAGAGATTTTCTCGTCTTCAAGTGAAAGAAAACGCAAACATAACGTTTTTCGTCCAAAAATATTTGAAATTACTACCAGAAGTTGTTCGCAAAAATGGATTTCATCCATTTTCTTCACTCTGTCGACCTCAAAGGTGTTGGGAATCTACTTATACATGCACAGCAGAATTTAAAATAATTTTCGATTCCCACCAAGAATCGCCTTTGTGTTTAGATAGAAATTGTGATAAGATTGTACCTTTTCCAGATCTGCAATCTTTTTGCTTTTCTTTTCGTTCCATCAACCTTGATTCGTCACCACAGCTGTCCAATTGTCCAGCCTCCAACGGTGATCCACACAGAGAATAAGATTGCAGCCTCTAGGATTTTCTCTTGTGCCAGCAAGAATAATGAAAAACTTATGGACCTCAAACCCTAGTTATGTATTTATATAAACCCAAACAGGCTCGGCTCGGCCCGGTCCGGTCCAATAATTAATTAATCAAATTAATTAAACCCGGTCCGTGAATTTACCAAAATGAGCTACAATCATAATTGTGAATGAAGGTACAATTTTACATATTTAACATAATAACTATATCAACGTGAAAATCCTTTCCTGCTGGAGCCAGCACGGGCGGCCGCGCCGGCTCGCCGGGTGCTGGCTCCGCCAGTGCTTGTAACACAACTATATATGAGTTAGTGGTCACGTTGTGTAAGTTCATGAGCGTTCCGAACTCACCAAAATTTTAGACGATACCCCTAGAAAATGATAGCGTTTGGCCAACATTGACCTACCGAAGTTATGTTCTTTCTTTAGTACTCTTTGCCTCCCATGAAGATGAGCTTATCTCTATTTTTACACAAATTAAGTAAACTTAATTAATATATATCGAAACTATAAATTTTAATTACATTTTTTCATAATTTACCACTAAATTGAATAAATGGTAGCTCATATTTGTTGATAACAATACAAATTAAACAAAATTATATTAAAAAATTAAGACATTATTTGGAGGGGGGAAAAAAAAACAAAGCGTATTTTTGTGGGACAGATGTAGTATATCTTTTTTGTAACTATCCTATTTGTTAAAGCTTATAGGAACTTATAAAATGATAAAACTCTATTTTTATCTACAAATTTTATAGAATTCACAAATTTTAAGTACTTAATCACGCATTCTTTAAAACTCGCCTAAGTTGTTTGGCTAAATACCCAAAAAAAAAAAAAAAGTTGGCTAAATTTTAACTACTTAATCACACATTTTTTAAAACTCGCTTCACTGAGTTGTTTGGCTAACTAGCCAAACCCCCCAAAAAAAAAAATCATACTCAAAATATTAAAGAAACAGCAGTCTGCCAAATAGGCAAATGAGGCATCTTATTACTATAGAGATCATTCAGAATCAAGAAGAGAATACTTCTTTCCCACTTGAATACATGAGAGATTTTCTCGTCTTCAAGTGAAAGAAAACGCAAACATAACGTTTTTCGTCCAAAAATATTTGAAATTACTACCAGAAGTTGTTCGCAAAAATGGATTTCATCCATTTTCTTCACTCTGTCGACCTCAAAGGTGTTGGGAATCTACTTATACATGCACAGCAGAATTTAAAATAATTTTCGATTCCCACCAAGAATCGCCTTTGTGTTTAGATAGAAATTGTGATAAGATTGTACCTTTTCCAGATCTGCAATCTTTTTGCTTTTCTTTTCGTTCCATCAACCTTGATTCGTCACCACAGCTGTCCAATTGTCCAGCCTCCAACGGTGATCCACACAGAGAATAAGATTGCAGCCTCTAGGATTTTCTCTTGTGCCAGCAAGAATAATGAAAAACTCATGGACCTCAAACCCTAGTTATGTATTTATATAAACCCGGCTCGGCTCGGCCCGGTCCGGTCCAATAATTAATTAATCAAATTAATTAAACCCGGTCCGTGAATTAATTAATCCAATTAATTAATTCGAAAATATAAATAACAAATCCAATTAATTAATTTATCCAACGATTGTTAAATTAACCAATTGACAATTTGCAATCTTCCAATTCTCTTT